GCTCAGTAGGTACAGTTGCAGATCGTCGTGCCACGTGTCAAATGCTACAGGTCTGCCCTCCGGGTCGAACGGGAGAACTCGAAGCGACGCCATAGGGGCCGAGGGGCCAAACAGGGGGCCGGAGGCAGGGCTCTGAGGTGGGGCCGAGGGGCCAAACAAGGGGCCGGGGGGGGGGGGGGGCGGGCGCCGTGCTGTGAGGTGGGGCCGAGGAGCCTAGGGGCCGCGGGGCCAAACAAGGGGCCGGGGGGCCTAGGGGGGCCGTGAGGCCTAGGGGGGCCGAGGGGCCAAATAAGGGGCCGGGGGGGCCGGGCGCCGTGCTGTGAGGTGGGGCCGAGGAGCCTAGGGGCCGCGGGGCCAAACAAGGGGCCGGGGGGGCCTAGGGGGGCCGAGGGGCCTAGGGGGCCGAGGGGCCAAACAAGGGGTCGGGGGGGGGGGGGGCGGGCGCCGTGCAGTGAGGTGGGGCCAAGGAGCCGAGGGGCCGCGGGGCCAAACAAGGGGCCGGGGGGCCTAGGGGGGCCGAGGGGCCTGGGGGGCCGAGGGGCCAAACAAGGGGCCAGGGGGGCCGGGCGCCGTGTTGTGAGGTGGGGCCGAGGGGCCTAGGGGCCGCGGGGCCAAACACGGGGCCGGGGGGCCTAGGGGGGCCGAGAGGCCTAGGGGGCCGAGGGGCCAAACAAGGGGCCGGGGGGGGGGGGGCGCCGTGCTGTGAGGTGGGGCCGAGGAGCCTAGGGGCCGCGGGGCCAAACAAGGGGCCGGGGGGCCTAGGGGGGGCCGAGGGGCCTAGGGGGCCGAGGGGCCAAACAAGGGGCCGGGGGGGGGGGGGGGCGGGCGCCGTGCAGTGAGGTGGGGCCGAGGAGCCGAGGGGCCGCGGGGCCAAACAAGGGGCTGGGGGCCCTAGGGGGGCCGAGGGGCCTAGGGGGCCGAGGGGCCAAACAAGGGGCCGGGGGGGGGGGGGGGTCCGGGCGCCGTGCTGTGAGGTGGGGGCCGAGGAGCCGAGGGGCCGCGGGGCCAAACAAGGGGCCGGGGGGCCTAGGGGGGCCGAGGGGCCTAGGGGGCCGAGGGGCCAAACAAGGGGCCGGGGGGCCGGGCGCCGGTCTCTGAGGTGGGGCCGAGGGGCCTAGGGGCCGCGGGGCCAAACAAGGGGCCGGGGGGCCTAGGGGGGCTGAGGGGCCTAGGGGGGCCGAGGGGCCAAAGCAGGTACGGGGCCGGGCGCTGGGCAGGTACGGGGCCGGGCGCTGGGCAGGTACAGGGCCAAGCGCTGGGCAGGTACACGGCCGGGCGCTGGGCAGGTACGGGGCCGGGCGCTGGGCAGGTACGGGGCCGGGCGCTGGGCATGTACGGGGCCAGGCACTGGGCAGGTACGGGGCCGGGCGCTGGGCAGGTACGGGGCCGGGCGCTGAGCAGGTACGGGGCCGGGCGCTGGGCAGGTACGGGGCCTGGCGCTGGGCGCGGAATGGGGCCGGGCGCTGGGCTAGGTACGGGGCCGAGCGCGGGCAAGAGACGAGGTCGGGTGCCGGGCGAAGGACGGGGGGCCGGGCGCGAGGCTAGGTACGGAGCCAGGCGCTGGCGATAGACGGGGCCGGGCACGGGCTAGGTACGGGGCCGGGCGTTGGCTAGGGTCGGGGCCGTGCGCTGGGCTAGGTACGGGCCGGGCGCGGGGCTAGGTACGAGCCGAGCGCGGACGAGAGACGGGGCCGTGCGCGGGCAGGGTACTGGCCGGTCGCGAGGCTAGGTACGGGCCGGGCGCGGGGCTAGGAACGGGGCCGAGCGCGGGACGGGTACGGGCCGATCGCGGGGCGGGTACGGGCCGATCGCGGGGCTAGGAACGGGGCCGTGCGCGAGGCTAGGTACAGGCCGATCGCGGGCGACGGAATCGACGGGGCGACGGGGCCGAGGGGCCGAGCTAGGGGCGACGGGCCAAGGGGCCGAGCCTAGGGGCGACGGGCCAAGGGGCCGAGCCTAGGGGCGACGGGCCAAGGGGCCGAGCCTAGGGGCTATCGGCGACGCCACGGGGCCTAGGCTAGCAGTTACTTAGGTGGTGGGCCCATTAAAGTTAGGATCCTAGGAAGGTAATGCTCTTAATACCATGTGAGAATAGTAGGCGAGAATGAGGTGACTAGGAAAGGGGGAGGGGTACAAGTAGAATGTCGAGAGAAATTCTGTACCCCCTAAGGCTAAACCCACTATAGCCTAGACAATTGTAAACACATAAACTAAGCCTAGATATAACTAAGCATATATGTTTGACAGTAAGGAGTGCACAGTGATGCTTCAATAATCACTATTCGTAACAAGTGTGTTATATCGTAATCCAATAGCACCTCACAAACACCAGTTAATTGAGTTGTGATGTGGTTTAGACGTGGATGGATGTATGGGAATAGACGTAAATATTTCAGGCCCCTGTAATCGTTTTTCTCCATTCAACGGGCTAGTTAGTTAGCTGAGTATATGGGTGTGATTGAAATGGTCTGAGAGGGGGACCTAGGATCCTAGGCGGACAGGTGGTTGATTTCAAGGTGAAAATTAGCAGAAAATGGGGTTGGGTTTTAGGCTCCTTGATAAAGGTCATGTTCTCTGAAGGAGAATGTCGTTCTCAGAGATCTCAAGCTCGGCAAATGATGCAGGATAATGAAAACGCAGCCAGCATTCAGCAGCACTACATAAAATGGTAAAAACGAAACAAGCTTCTCGACATGGATACATAATGTCCATGCACTTTATTGGACGCCGGAATTCACAGCATGTGCAGGACAGCACCATTCGTAACACATGTCAGGGTCCAAACACTGAATTCCCCCAGCTGCAACGCTTACCACACCCACGTGTACCCTGCGGCCTTTGCTGCAGCTTCGGCCTGCTGCGCAGCGATAGTGGCATTGTAGGCACGCGACGCCATGAGAGTCGAGTTGTTATCCGCGCTCGTCTTCGCAGTGGTCGCCTTGCTCAGCAAGATCTTCGCATTCGACACGTTCGCCGACTTTGCGGGGATGGACGCGTTCGCGTAGGTCACGTCGAACTGCGCCTGCGTCACCGCCGTCGCCGCCGCCGCATCCGCCGCAACGCCAGCGTCGAGATTCGCCTTGGCGGCCGCCACGGCCTGCTGCTGCTTCAAGAGCTCCGCCTGGACCGCATCGGGGTTGTCCAGATCGTTCTGCCTCTTAACCAAGAAATCCGCGGCGCGATTCGCCTGGTCAACCATGTCCTTGAGAATGGACTCCGCTTGGGTCTTCACCGCCATCGCCTCGGCCAGCTTGGCTTGCGCTGCGGCCAGATCGGCGCCTGTGAGGCTCGAGTCGGCGGCCTTCTTCGCCGCGTCGATCGCTTCGATATTCGCGTCCGCGACCTCGCCCTGCTGGGTGTCCACCAGGGTCGACGTCATATTGGCGCGTCGCTTCGCGTCCTCTACGGCTTGCGTGAGCGACGTCACGTCCGTGCCCTGCGCGACGAGCTTGTCCAGCTGTGCCTGCGCCTCGTCCGTCGCGTTCTGGAGAGCGGGGATCGCGGCGGCCGTGGCGTTCTTTGCGGCGATCCTGTTCGCGAGAACGACCTTGAGGCGATTGACGAGGGGCAACGCGTCGTTGTACGCGGCCGTGGCGTTAGCGAGCGTCGCGTTGGCGTTGATAACATCCTGCGCCCTCAGCGCCTGGGTGGCGTTCGCGGCGGCGGAATCCCTGGTGCAGTTTGCGGCGAAGGCTCTCGTCGTGCGCGCCTTGGTGACGAGGAACGGCTCCGTCTGGCCGGTAGCGAAGGACGCGTACGCTGCTACTGCGAGGAGAGCCAGCAGCAGGAAGGATGGGTTGCGAATGGACGCCATGTTACCGTGTGGTGAAGATGAAACACGGGTGTGTGTGTGTAACAGGATGAAGTGAAGTGAGCTGCGAGGCAAGTAGCTTGGAAGATCTTCTAATGGATGTAGAGGAGCGTGGGAACTGATGAAGCACTGGGGCAGGCTGGTGCTTATGAAGACATGGATCAATTTGGAGGGATGAGAGGAGCCGAAATTGACATGTGGGGCAGATTCTGCCAGACCAGAGAATGGCTACGCGGTTCGGTACAGGAAGGAAAGGGAGTGAGTCGCGGCTCGACAACAAGGGTGGTTTGGCCTGCCCTCGCATTGCAAAATGTGGCGGAGTGTGGCGAGTGTTGGCAGCCAGGCTTGCTGTGGGTTTGGTACAGGTTATGTCTCTCGTACGCTGGTTACGGTCTAATTCGGTGCATTGCATTACAGCACGGCGAGACTTACAAGCCGTTTTCAACCGTGTGGAACCATACTAAGCCACTAGGAATGAACTGTAAATGTACGACCCCCTTGAGCAAGGTTCGCAAGCACTTGACTCAAACCAATCATAAATTTACGGTCCTACATGAAACTTTTGAGGTCCCAATAGGAACTGCGTCTCACCCTCAAGAAAAGTTTTCTGATGTGAAGCCGCAGAACACGATGAAGCTCGAGGAAAGGCTCCACGAGGCAGAGTATGGATGCATTGTGGAAAACAGCTGGCTCTTGGGTCCAGCGATGAGGCTTGAGTGCGAGGGTGAAGGGGTAGCGAATAGTTTGGGTGGTAACAAGTATTTGGAACAAGCCTATACACCTACAGTTATGTAAGACTAGATCTGGGTTCCTCTTTACAAGTCGCAGCAATCGATACTATTCTTATGTCTACACGCCGGGCATTGTATCCTTCGCTAAACGAGATCCATTTTCTTGTCAAGCAACTAACTCCAAGGTTCCTTATGGTTTGCTGCTAACTCCAAGGTTTCGGATTCCTGTTTTACGCAGCAAGTGGTTTAGCAATTACTACAATGTTTCTATCACGCTATTGCCTACTACGATCCCGAGGCCTCAACCTCGGTTTCTCATCATCAAAAACAGGAGCACTGGTCCAACGCTTGTGATTTTCAACTTTTTTAATAAGTATGTGCTCAGAGTTATGGCATCAGCTCAGACATCCGTGGTTTGCTCTCAAGCTTTGCAGCCATTCTTTTCTCATCATCGCACAATGCCTCCTAAGGGGAAGTCCAAGGCTCTGCCGGAAGCCTCGTCGCTGGAAGCTCCCTCCTCGTCACTGGACGCGCCGTCTTTGTCACCTGCTCCTGCTCCGTCTGATCCTGCTAGCAAGTGCAAGGGCAAGGCTCTGGAGGAGTCAGTCAACGTGCCTCTCGCTGAAGCGTCTGCACGTGGCTCTGGTCTCTCCTTGGAGGAGAAGCTGCGTTCTCTTCGTACGTCAACCCATGACAGCGGCTTCATCGAAGATGAATCTGACGAAGAGCTCGAGGTCGAAGTCAGGACGGAAGCGTTCAACCGCATACGCTACACGACGATTCTGCTGTTACCCGTGGCTCTCGCTTTGGAGGTGGCCTCTGTCATCACCACGGTGTGGACACTGATGAGGCGCGTCTGGTCGTCTACGCTCTCCGACGGTGCTATTGACTTGGCAAAGTTCCAAGAGCTTCTACCGGCGTACGTGGCGAAGACCCGCTACAGGCGTCTGCAAGTCTCCCTCCTGCGAGAAGAGGACATTATGAGCATCAGGTCCAAGGAGGTGGACTACGCGCGTCCTAACGGCACGGTCTTCCGGCTCTACTGGCAGCACACTGACGATCCTGCTTTCGTGCGAGAGCGTGCGAGGAACGCTCAGGCGATTGAAGTGGTGATCAGGGACGTACCTGCGACGAAGACACCTGAGATGCTGCGGTAGCTGATGGTGATTTACCAGCTTCGAAACCGGAGGCAGTCAGCATTCAAAGACGGCGTATGCTTCCACCGCGTTCTGCACCCAGTCACCGGAGCTAACATTGATGTCATCAAGGGTCTTGTAATCCCTCATCCCGGCGACAGATACCGCTGGCGCCACGTCTTTGAGGACCCGCTGGAGATCGGCCGCCGTTTCTTGGTCCACTTCCGTGCGCTGTCTTGCCTGCTCTGTGGTGGACAGCATTATGACGTCAATCATGATGCTTCCACAACAGAGCGGCAAAATAGCATAGGAAAGTGGAACCTTACCTTGGGGAGGGTTCATCGTATAAATGGTAACTGCTTTCCTCTTCATGATCATGCTTACCACCGTGTGTGTTCTTGTGCTAACCATCAAGTTGTGCCATGTAGCCGAATCTCTTCTGGCCTCACCTCTGATAACCCCCATCCTGCTAGACCCGGCCATGGTGCTGATCTCCACTGGAGGGAATCGGGAGGAGTGGCTCTGCACGAAAGTGGGCTGTGGGAAGGCGAAAGGGAGAAGCTTCATGACCACGGCAGATCATGTCACATCCGCCAACCACCTCATCCATCTGGAGAAGCTCGGCTCTGCCACTCGTGCCTCTCTCGAGAAAGCAAGTCTCAATGTCACGAAGAAGGAGTATGGGATTTGAGGCAAGTGTCAAACTTATATTCCATAGTCTATTTAGGCTGTAGTGGGGTAGTTCTTATAAGGTACAACACTTTTAGGTTTCCCATATGTACCCACCTGCTTTCTAGTTCCATCATTCATTCGCTCACATTCTAACATGGTATTCTGAGCAGGTTCCCTAGTGGGAACGTTTTTTTAAGGGCCCACCACTAGATTTTTTTTTTCCTGCCCTGCCCGAAGCGCGCATCGCGCCTTCCCTGTCGCGGCCCCTAGCCAGTCACGGCCCCTAGCCCATCGCGGCCCCTAGCCCGTCGCGGCCTCTAGCCCGTCGCGACCCCTAGCCCGTCGCGGCCCCCAACAACTGGCGCGCCCCTGCCGGCCCCTGCTGACGCGCCCCTGCTGACGCGCCCCTGCCGGCCCCTGCTGACGCGCCCCTTCTGGCGCGCCCCTGCCGGCCCCTGCTGACGCGCCCCTGCCGGCCCCTACTGACGCGCCCCTGCTGGCGCGCCCCTGCCGGCCCCTGCTGACGCGCCCCTGCTGACGCACCCCTGCTGACGCGCCCCTGCCGGCCCCTGCTCACGCGCCCCTGCTGACGCGCCCCTGCCAGCCCCTGCTGACGCGCCCCTGCCGGCGCCTTCTGACGCACCCTTGCTAGCGCGCCCCTGCCGGCCCCTGCTGACGCGCCCCTGCCGGCCCCTGCTGACGCGCCCCTGCCGGCCCCTGCTGGCGCGCCCCTGCCGGCCCCTGCTGACGTGCCCCTGCTGACGCGCCCCTGCCGGCCCCTGCTGGCGCGCCCCTGCCGGCCCCTGCTGACGCGCCCCTGCCGGCCCCTGCTGACGTGCCCCTGCTGGCGCGCCCCTGCCAGCCCCTGCTGACGCGCCCCTGCTGGCGCGCCCCTGCCGGCCCCTGCTGACGCGCCCCTGCCGGCCCCTGCTGGCGCGGCCCCTGCTGGCGCGCCCCCCTTCTAGCGCGGCCCCTGCTGTCACGGCCCGCCCCTGCACCCGTCTCTGGTAAGCCGAGCCGCGCCGCCCAGCTGAGCCGCGCCGCCCAGCCGAGCCGCGCCGCCCAGCCGAGCCGCGCCGCCCTGCCGAGCCGCACTGCCCTACCGAGCCGCACTGCCTTGCACTGCCCTACTGCCTCTGCTACTACTGCTGCTATTGCTGCTACTGCTGCTACTCTTGCTACTGCTCCTACTGCTGCTATGGTTAGTCCTACCGTTCTCACCTTTGATGCTGAGGGACGTGCTGTTGACTTTGACGTGTGGGTTGACGACCTACAGCTCTTTCTTCAGTGTGATTCTAGGGATGGGGTATCCCTTTTCGATCACACGTCCGGTGTTTCTACTTCTCCTACTGCCACTGCTGACAGTACGGTTCGCTCGCAGTGGACCACTCGTGACGCTGTTGCTCGTCTTGCTGTTCGTAGTCACCTGCCGCCTGCTGAGCGTGCGCATTTTGGCCAGTACAAGACTGCTCAGTCTTTGTACGACGCTGTAGTTGCACGCTACTCCTCCCCTGCCCCTGCTGCCCTCAGCCGCCTCATGCTGCCGTACCTTTTCCCTGACCTTACCGCCTTTGCCACAGTCGCTGACCTAGTTGCTCACCTTCGCACTAGTGACGCCCGCTACCGCGCTGCCCTTCCCACTGAGTTCTGTGCCAAAAACCCCCCCCCCCATGTACATCACCCTTTACTACCTACTCACCCGCCTCCCTGACTCCCTTTCTTCAGTCAGGGACCACTTTCTCTCCCTTTGCCCCACCGAGCTGACTGTCGACCTGCTAGAGGAGCGCCTTGCTGCAGCTGAGAAGAGTATCTTAGCTGTAGGTGCTTCTCGCGGCGACCGTCGCACCCCTTTCTTTGAGGGGTGTTCCCCTGTCCCCCTTCTCCCCTCTGTTGCTTCTGCTGCTGCTGTCGACCTCGTTGGCACTGAGGAGGTCGGGGCTGCGTCTGCCCCTAGTGGGAGACGCCGCAACAGCAAGGGCAAGGGGAGCAAGGGTGGTGGAGGGGGCGGCGGGGGAAGCAGTGGAGGAGGTGGAGGAGGCGGAGGAGGTGGCGGTGGAGGTGGGGGTGGTACCGGGAGTGGGGGCGTCAGTGGCGGCGGTGGAGGTGGTGGCGGCAGTGGCGGAGGTGGTGGAGGCAGCGGCAACGGTGGTGGAGGTGGCGGCGGCGGTGGTGCTGGTCGAGGTGCAGCCGCGCAGCGTGGAGGCTTTGGTGGCAGCAATCGCCAGCAACAGCTGCGCTCCCATGAGACCCCGTCGGTCCAGCAGCTTCGTGAGTGGTACGCTGGGCGTGGGAGGTCTGGGGGTGCAGGTCCCTGCACTTACGTTCTTCGCACCGGCAGTCGTCGTGGGGAGGCGTGTGGGCTGCCACACACTGCGCAGCGCTGCTTCGGTCGCTTGACTGACGCCTGGCGTGCCCAGTTTCCTGACGCTGTTGAGCTCCCTCGCTTGCATGATCTGCTTCTGCAGAATGTGCCTATCTTTGATCTTGATTTCGATGCTATCCTTGCTGCCATGTATGCTTTTGCTGATAGTGCTGAGGGTGACTGTTACCTGAGTGTCCCGCCCGACCCGGGCATTGCGGCTGCTGCTCTAGGTGCTAGTGCGTCTGCTGCTCCAGGTACTGGTGCGTCTGCTGCTCCAGGTGCTGGTGCGTCTGCTCTCTCTGGTACTGCACCTACTGAGGCCTTGCACACTTTCACACTTGACTCCGGTGCTTCGCGCTCTTTCTTTAGAGACAGCACCACACTCACGCCGCTCAGTCGGCCTGTTGCAGTCTCCCTTGCTGACCCCTCTGGGGGCCCAGTCCTTGCACACTCTTCCACGGTTCTACCGTGTCCTGCGGTCCCGTCGGGCTTGCTGTCGGGACTCCACCTCCCCTCGTTCTCTACGAACTTGGTGAGTGGAGCTGACCTCCAGGACGCGTGGGTTGACCAGTTCACCCCTGGAGGTCAGCGTGTGACCCACTGCACTCGCTCTCGGACGGGACGCCACCTGGCCACGTTCACCCGTCGGCCAGGGTCGAGTCTGTACACACTGACTACTGCGCCTCCTCCGGTCTCTGCGTCTGGTCAGGTACCTGCGTCTAGTCAGGTGTTTGCTGCCGCGTCCAGGTCTAGTCCAGCGTCGCCCCCCTGCTCGTGTCGTCCTCTGTCGCACGAGACTCTCCTTTGGCACCACCGCCTTGGTCACCCCTCCCTGCCTCGTCTTCGAGGTACGGCCTCCCGTGCCCTTGTCTAGGGTCTACCCCGGTCCCTCCCTCCCCTTCCTCCGGGGCCTGCCCCCACCTGTGTTCCTTGTGTCGAGGGCCGGCAGCGCGCCGCTCCTCACTTCTCCTTGTTCCCTTCGACTGAGGCTCCTCTGCAAACTCTTCACATGGACGTGTGGGGCCCAGCCCGCGTCCGTGGACAGGGTCACGAGCGTTACTTCCTGCTGGTCATTGACGACTACTCGCGTTACACCACAGTCTTCCCCTTGCGCAGCAAGGGTGAGGTCTCTGAGGTGTTGATCGACTGGATCCGCGGTGCTCGTCGCCAGCTCAGTGAGAGTTTCGGCTCTGACCTTCCTGTTCTGCGTCTGCACTCAGACAGAGGTGGGGAGTTTTCCTCCGACCTCCTGAGGGCCTTCTGACATTCGGAGGGCATCCGCCAGACGTTCACGGCCTCCCCGCAGCAAAATGGGATTGCTGAGCGCCGCATTGGCATGGTCATGGACGTCGCTCGTACGTCCATGATCCATGCGGCTGCTCCCCATTTTCTGTGGCCGTTTGCGGTTCAGTACGCTGCGCATCAGATCAACCTTCAGCCTCGTGTCTCCTTGCCGGAGACCACACCTACTCTGCGGTGGACGGGGAAGGTTGGCGATGCGTCCGCGTTCCGTGTCTGGGGATCTCGAGCTTTTGTCCGCGATACTACAGCGGACAAGCTGTCCTCCCGTGTCGTTCCCTGTGTCTTCCTTGGCTTCCCTCCTGACACACCCGAGTGGCAGTTCTACCACCCCACCTCGTGTCGTGTTCTGTCCTCTCAGGACGTCACGTTTGACGAGTCGGTGTGTTACTACCGTCTCTTTCCCTACCGCACTACCTCTCTCCCCCCCCCCGAGTGTCTGGAAGTGCTGTGTCTGGGGGTGCTGAGCCTGGGCGTGTGGAGCCTGAGGGTACTGCGTCTGGAGGTGCTGAGCCTTCGCGTGCTGAGTCTGGCGGTGCTCTAGGGGTCCCGTCGCGGCGGGAGCCCCTCTCTCCACAGCAGCTTTGTGAGTGGTACTCTCGGCGCTGTCAAGGTGCTGCTGGTACTGGAGGTGCTGCTAGGGCTGCTGGTGGTGCTACTGGTGCTGGAGCTGCTGCTGGAGGTGCTGCTGGTGCTGGAGGTGCTGCTAGGGCTGCTGGTGGTGCTGCTGGTGCTGCTGGAGCTGCTTGCGGTGCTGCTGCTGCTGGAGGTGCTGGTGCTGCTGGCGCTGCTGGAGGTGCTCCTGGTGCTGGAGGTGTTGCTGGTGCTGGAGCTACTGCTGGAGCTGCTGGAGGTGCTGGTACTGCTGGAGCTGCTGGAGGCGCTGCTGGTGCTGGAGGTGCTGCTTGGGCTGCTGGTGGTGCTGCTGGTGCTGGAGCTGCTGCTGGAGGTGCTGCTGGTGCTGGAGGTTCTGGTGCTGCTGGAGCTGCTGGAGGTGCTCCTGGTGCTGGAGGTGTTACTGGTGCTGGAGCTGCTGCTGGAGCTGCTGGAGGTACTGGTGCTGCTGGAGCTGCTGGAGGTGCTGCTGGTGCTGGAGGTGCTGTTGGAGCTGCTGGTGGTGCTACTGGTGCTGGAGGAGCTGCTGGTGCAGGAGCTCATGGAGCTGCTGGAGGTGCTGCGCGGCCGCGGCCGTACTACGTTCCTCTACTTCAGCAGGTTCTTGGTTTCTTGCCTTCTCCTGGTCCTCCTCCTCCTTTCCTGAGCCCACCGCCTGTCCAGTCCCAGTTGCAGTTACAGCCGGCCTCTCCACTACCTGGTCCTTCTCCCTACTCTGGACCGACTAGAGGTCTTACGGAGCG